AGTGGCCCTGTGGATTTTTAAAGGGACACTATCAATCTGAAACATTATCAGTTTTAAAACAAACAAGCACATGAGTTAAAAATGGTTTCAGCTGCAACAGAGTCCAATTGTGGTTTTACAACCATGTTTTCCTATTTATAAAAATGTTGTATGCAAGAACCACAAATGACAGAGAAGAAGAGTGAAGCTGACTGTGCATGAAAGTCTGTCAAATGCCCAAAACTCCAGTAAACTCGAGTTTTATAACTCAAGTGTTATCTCTAACATCACTTCAATCCACACACAAAAATCTCTAGCTCAAGTTAAGCAGTGCTTAAAGCTGGAGCTAGCTGACCCATGAGGCGGGGTGGTTTGAAGCACAAGTGACTCATGCTCCAACTACTAATGGAGTGGGAATGCAATATCTTGAGTCACACCAACTCAGTAGCAGTTAATCAATCACGCCGTGAGCCTAATCAGCTCACTCTGTGTAACTCCAGTGTCCAGCTGGAGCGCAGTAACTCAAGTATACTAACTCAAACTGTTGTAATGAAGACAAGCCCAAAATAAAACTGGAAAATAGTGAGAAATACCGTTATCTAACCTTAGGTATTGCTTGTAACAGCAGGTAAAAAGAACTGCAGACTGAAAGGACAGAAAGGTGTGTAACTTTAGCGCCCTCATGGCCAAGATGGAGTCTGCTCTGCAGGCAGCTCTGGCCAAGAGAAGACGTGCGCAGGAATGCAGCAGGAGAAATTCCTTCCACCCCAGGGGCACCTGTTCCAAACCCCCCAGAGTGAACACACACACACACCCACGGGAAAAGTACAATGGATATAAGAAAGGGAAATATTTATTTACAGAGGGATGAGAGGAGAAATACAACAAGGGGAAATATAGGGGGAGCAGCAGAACAGGGTTGCATTCAAACCAAGGCACCACAGGCCCAGTGGTAGCACAGTTTGGAAGGGCAGACACTGAGCAATGTGTCTGCACACAGAGTTCAGGAGTCCTGAGCAAAGTTCCAGTCCAGTGGTGAGTCTTGGGTGCTCCTGGTCGTCTTCAGCACCAGTGAACTTTCCCCCAACAAACCCCTCTGGTGCCGTCTTCTGCCGCTTTTTGCAAAGCCACACAGAGCGACCACCTCCACTCTTAACTAGCTAGCAGCCTCCCTCCTTGTTCCCAATGCAGAGTTACAAGCTCCAGTACTCTCAGCCCCACGCAGCTCTGGGCAGCCGTGATATTGGGTCCAGATCCAGCCTGTCCTTCTCGGGCGATTCCTCCCTGGCACAGTGCTCCTCCTGGCTCCTGTCCTGGGGTGTCCCCGCTCATCCACCCTGTCCTTCCCAGGCTTTAGGCAGGTTCTCTGCTGCTTCCTTTGCGAAGGCCTATGGGCTGCTGCTTCTCTCTCCCTCCGAGCTCCAGAGCCACCCCCTGAAGTTTCCCTCCTTTTTTCTCACTCTCCCCCTTCCCCCTAGGAAAAATATTTAAAGGGGCCATGCTCTCTAAACACCAAAGGGGTTACAGGTGATTTAAGTTGATTGTCACTTTAATCTAATTTACTCTTTGATATTTAAAGTACAAGGCTAAGGCTTGTTTGCATGCGGATAATGAAACTAGACTGGACAGTGTGTCTTCTTTCACGGTTTCATTTATCCCTCATTTGTACAATGCTGATATGCTCAGGTCTACAATGCTACAGAAGAATGGTTTAAATCCTTCACCACAAAAAAAAAAAAAAAAAAATAGAAATAGAAATGTTGCAAGAGGTCATTCATATTAGGTTTTGTACCCCCTTCCTCTTTTCTCTCTTTTATAAATTGATTTTAATATGAAGCGTAAAAGATATTAACTGTTTCCCAATAGTTTCTTCCTTCATCTTTAAGAGATGTTAAAGGGAAGAAAGGAAAACAAGTCAAGAATTCAGAGGTATAAACTGAGCAACATTTTCTAAGAGCACCATCAAAATACTAAGATTCCCAGTCTGAACTGACACAGGTGTTTCTTACAGAAGACACCATCTCTCTCACACAAGTGGCCCCTATATCACTTAAAGCTACTGTTGCTGTAGTTACAGTGTAGTACTTTTAAACTATGTATCAAAATAAACAGTTTTGTAAAACCTGCCATAATGGGCAATCTGTGTGTTGCCCTTTACAGAAATATTTATGGGTATTTTTAAAAAGTTTGTAGGAAGGGAGGGCAGGAATCTATTGTAGGTAACCAGTACCTCTTCCATCTCCTTCCAAAGAGGGTGATGGGACAGCAAACACACATTGCTTAGCACTTAATTGTGTAAACATCATTATCCCCATCTTCCAGATGAGAAGTGGTGCTAAGAAAAATGAAGCCTTAGACTAAGGGTATTGTCTATGCAGCAGCTGGGAAGGTGCTTCTCAAAGACACTTGCTAGCTTTGTTTGAGTTAGTATTCTACAAATAGTAGTCTGGCCACAGCAGCACAAGCAGCAGCTCAGGCTAGCCACCCGAGTACAATCCTGCGCCCAACCCCCTGGGTACACACTCAGGTGGCTAGCCTGATCTGCCCTCCTTGCTGCTGTGGCCACACTGCAATTTTTAGCACACTAGCTCAAGCAGAGGTAGCAAATGCCTGTCCACCCATGCTGTGAAGTACCTTCCCAACTGCTGTGTAGATATATCTTGAGAGTTTACTCTCAGCCCACATTAGGGTTACCACATTTTAGTTTCCCTAGAAGAGGACACTGCTGGAAGGGGGGAGGAGCTGGGATGGGGAGCTGGAGAGGGGTACAGTTGGGGATACCTGCAGAAGGGATACTCACTGGAGGTGGGGACAGTGTTGCTCCGTCACAGTGGCAGGGCTACTGGTGCAAGCCCAGGATGCAGCGACAGCTGCCAGTCAGTGCCTCCCTGCGGGACTCCCTCCCCAGAGCTGGGGCCTGGCTGGGTGGGATCCAGCAGCTGTGGCTTGCAGGGGAATGGACCAATCAGGTACAGATGCAGGGGTCTGCTCTGAAAAAAGCTGGGACATTCCCTGTTATTTGAAAAAATCTGCCTGAACAGAGAAAGGAAGTTCAAAAAAGCGGCTATGTCTGGGAAAACCTCGACGTATGGTAACTCTAGCAAAGGGTAGCGTATGTTCACCACTCCAGCTTTGGGAAGAAACTGTGATTCAGAGAGTAACAATTCCTTCCTTCCTTCATTCCCCCTTTCTCCAGCAGGCTGTAACTCGCTGTAGCCAGGAAAATGTGTAGGTTACTTCTCCCTCGCAACACCAGCCCAACTCAGTTTGCTATTGCTTGGAGGGGCAAAGCCGTGCTTCTCACCCACTTCTGGCCTTTTTCTAGCCCCTCTTCACCAATTCACTCACAGTAAAGGAGGAGGGGGGCAGTGAGAATGCAAGGGCTGTGCGCTGCAGGAGACAGAACGAAGATCCAAGTAGATAATGTTTTCACCCCTCAGCTCATAGAGAGCCGCAGGGCCTAATTCCCCTATTTGGCTGTGTAAAACATGGACATCTAACCCTAAGTGACAGACAGAGCTAGAGAAAAGTCCAGGTTTCCTGATTCTCAATCTAGTACCCTATCATTACACAACTGTCTCTCCACATGAGGAAGCTATTACACACAGAAGTACAGCGATCATACATGTAAATGTAGCCTATTTTCTTTTGTTGTCAAAGCTCACTTGTGGTCATTAAAAATCCCACAGCCATTTTCAAGACAGTTAGTGATGTTAACCTCTGGCTGAATCCTGAGCTAAATACCAAATGGCTAATTGTACCTATTTAAAATTCCCCTGTAATTTCAGTTGAACAATGCTTTTCTGTACTTTTTGTCCTGACCTGTTGTGTGGCATTACTGTGCACTTTTAAATAGCTACTTGCAGTATTTCAGGGATGGCCCCCTGTCAAATTCAGTAAAACCAGTGCACCAACATGTAAGCATCACCCTCCTAAGAGAGAAATCATTTCCACCACAGGGAGGATCCACCTGTATGAAGGGCACTTTGCATTTTTTGCTTATTAACATGAAATCAACATAAAGAAAACTTAACTAAATAAGTTGTACTTAAGATTTAAGTTGTAATTATTTGTTCTACATGTTAAAACTTACTCTAGACACCCACTTCCAAGAGGATCTTTAAAGCATCTTTTAAATCTCCTTTAAAGCATCCTCATGGTGTCTGGTTTGTTCAACATGTAGTTCGATATCACAATTTATGACTAGTCAGGCTCCCTGGGCAGGAACCCAAGACAACTTTCAGTATACAAGTAGTAGAGGCTCTCTTAGCCCATCCACCAAACCTGTGGCTGCAAAAGGAGGCTGTTTCTCTACATAGCTACCTGCTTAATATCATACAAAGAATTTAAAAAGGATTCAAAATGAAGAGCCAGCAGATTCCATTATGGTTATACACCACTTGTTTATCAGTTTGATTAAAATTTTCAGCATTAAATACTACAATAATGTTCAGCATACAAACGGGCACAAAGTCAAATAATAAATTTAAGATTCAGATCCAAATTTTTCCAGAGTTCTCATGTTCTGATCTGGACTTTTGGATTGGGCCTCTCTCTGCTTAACTTTATAAAAGTTTAATTTTTTTTATTGTTTTCAAATATAATTATGTGTTGACTGTTCCTCCTGAAGACTAGTAGTTTACTCTCTATTTACCTGCTCATCTTGTGATGTACAGTTCCCCCTTCTACCACAGATGCACGCTAACACTGTGTGCTCCCTGGCTCTGCATGGCCCAATCCCATTCCACAATTATAATGCAATACAGGAATTTATAGGCAATGGTAGTTCTGAATACGCCACGTGGCCCCCAAAATGCTGTCCTTCAAAACTCCTGTATTTCAACACCTGTTTCTTTGTTAGTTTGTTACATTGTTGCACCATGCAATCATAAAAACAGCTTTTCATTTTTATTTTTAAATTTATTTTTCTGATTATATAAATAGGTATGAACTATCACTATACTTAATTTAATAATGCTACATTCAATAGAGGAAACTGACCAAAAACATGCATAACTTACCTTTTCGCTGTTCTTATATTTTTCCCAGCTCTTCAGCATTTTTAGCCATTTTGTAGTTCTTTCAATTTCAAGGTGCTTTTGCTGAAATAAAATGACAATAATTTCAAACCTAATTTTTTCAAAAATATCTAGCTTAGAGTCTTCTAAAGCTATTAGAAACAAGTTTAACCAAGATATTTTCCACAGCAGGAACATTTAACATCAAGAATTATAGTGGCACCAGTGGCATCAACTTTGTTAAATTAGTCTTACCTGGAAAGAGCCGTTTCTTTGCATACAAGCTATCAGCCTGGATGTGCTTTTATTTATTTATATAAGGGCTGTCAATTAATCACAGTTAACTCAACTGATTAACTTGAAACAGATTAACTCGATTAAAAAAATTAATCACGATTAATTGCAGTTTTAATTGTACTCTTAAACAATAATAGAATACGAATTGAGATTTATTATAAATATTTTTGGATATTTTTCTACATTTCCAAATATATTGATTTCAATTACAACACAGAATACAAAGTGTACAGTGCTCACTTTATATTTTTATTACAAATATTTGCACTGTAAAAAAGAAATAGTATTTTTCAATTTACCTCATACAAGTACTATAGTGCAATCTCTATCGTGAAAGTGCAATTTACAAATGTAAATTTTGTTTCATAAATGCACTCAAAAACAAAACAATGTAAAACTTTAGAGCCTACAAGTCCACTCAGTCCTACTTCTTGGTCAGCCAATTGCTAAGACAAACAAGTTTGTTTACATTTATGGGAGATAATGCTGCCCACTTATTTAAATGTCATCTGAAAGTGAGAACATTCACATGACACTGTTGTAGCCAGCTTTGCAAGCTATTTATGCGCCAGATATGTTAAACATTTTTATGCCTCTTCATGCTTCAACCACCATTCCAGAGGACATGCTTCCATGCTGATGATAGGTTCTGTTCGATAATGACCCAAAGCAGTGCGTACTGATGCATGTTTATTTTCATCATCTGAGTCAGATGCCACCAACAGAATGTTGATTTTCTTTTTCAGTGGTTCAGGTTCTGTAGCTTCTGCATTGGAGTGCTGCTCTTTTAAGACTTCTGACAGCATGTTCCACATCTCGTCCCTCTCAGATTTTGGAAGGCACTTCAGATTCTTAAACCTTGGGTCAAATGTTGTAGCTATCTTTAGAAATCTCACATTGGTACCTTCTTTGTGTTTTGTCAAATCTGCAGTGAAAGCGTTTTTAAATCAAACAACATGTGCTGGGTCATCATCCGAGACTGCCATAACACGAAATATATGGCAGAATGTGGGTAAAACCAAAGAGCAGGAGACATATAATTTTCCCCCAAGGAATTCAGTCACAAATTTAATTAATGCATTTTTTTAACAAGCATCATCAGCATGGAAGCATGTCCTCTGGAAGGTGGCCGAAGCATGAAGGGGCATATGAATGTTTAGCATATCTGGCACATAAATAGCTTACAACACCAGCTACAAACGTGCCATGTGAACGCCTGTTCTCACTTTCAGATGACATTATAAAATAAGAAGTGGGCAGCATTATCTCCCATAAATGTAAACAGACTTGTTTGTCTTAGCATTTGGCTGAACAAGAAGTAGACCTGACTGGATTTCTAGGCTCTAAAGTTTTACATTGTTTTATTTTTTAGTGAAGTTATGTTAAAAAAAAGTTGCACTTTCACGATGAAGAGATCACACTAGAGTACTTGTATGAGGTGAAATGAAAAATATTATTTCTTTTGTTTATCTTTTTTACAATACAAATATTGTAATAAAAAATAATATAAAGTGAGCACTGTACACTTTGCATTCTGTGTTGTAATTGAAATCAATATATTTGAAAATGTAGAAAACATCAAAAGATATTTAAATATTCTATTGTTTAAAAGTGTAATTAAAACTGCAATTAATCATGATTTTTTTAAATCTCGTGATTAATCGCGATTAATTTTTTAATCGTTTGGAAACCCAATATATATTTTACTCCTGTGAGAATTCTGTGCCACTGCACATGCACAGAATTCATGTCCGATGCAGATTTTTTTTTCTGCACAGAAAATACATTCTTCCTGAGAAGTGCTGCAGTTCCACCTTTCATGCATCAGAGGCCACTGTGGAGACAGGATAGCAGCAGCTGACAGGAAATAACAGTCAGTAGCCAGCTGCGTTCATCACAGCACCCTACCTGCGGAGCCAGGTTAGGAGGTACGGTATATGGGAGGGGGGGGGAGAGACACAGAGAGTGGGGCACATGGGACTGCTGGGGGGTCACAGTCTGGGATTCAGAAGGGCTAGTGGGGGGGACAGACTGGGGCAGGAGCTTAGGAGCTAGTGGGGTGACAGCATTGAGCCAGAGGCTGAATGGGAAGAGGTCTGCAGGGACACATGGGGATGGGGACTGCAGGGACACATGGGGATGGGGACTGCAGGGACACAAGGGGATGGGGACTGCAGGGACACAAGGGGATGGGGGCAGATGTGCCTGACTAAATGGGAGAGGCTCAGGGTCAGCCAGGGTCTGCATAGGGGAGGCTCCTCAACTCCCTAACAATCCTCTCCCCCCCAAAAAAGCTGTTCCATACTACCACCACCCACAGGCAACAACCCTCCAAGTTCACTCCCAGGCTCCTTCCCTCTCCCTCAGCTCCTCCATTACTCCTGACTCCCCCAAAGCCTTTGCACTGCTTCTGACTGGTGCAGGAAATAAGTTTCTGTATTGTAGTTTAAATGAATTACTCTGTTCTGCATTAAAAGTTTTATATTTGTATAAAGTTCTGTATTAATTTGCCTAGTAAAGCATCTCTTTGTCAAAAAACATTCCTGAATCTTTTTTTGTCTGTATTATTACAGACATAATTGCTGACAGTTATTTTGAAATAAATTACCAGTATAATTGAAAGTAGTGTTATTATATTGTGTTATTTTGACAAATAAAATATGCAGAGTTTTAAAATATTGTGTGTAGAATTTTTATTGTTTTGGCACAGAATTCCCCAGGAGTAACACTAACACACACACACACACACACACACACTTTTGCAGTAGAGAGGGTTTAAATTTCTTCCTGTCAAATTTTTGGCAAGTACCAAAAACATTAAGTGTCTAAAAACTCCAGGCAGTTAATTTCCAATGTTTGAAATGTTTGAAAAATTCTACATAAAACTATTGATACTTTCAGGTGATGACCTCCCTTGCTCAGGCTATTCAGCCTAATTCAAATGCAGAATTGCCCCACATATAAATTAACTTTTTTTCACCAACAATCTCAAAGCTCTTCCCAAATCATTAAAACTCTAGACTCGATTGTTAGGCAATAACACTGTTACATGAACCTAAATGTATTAGCAAATTTTAGGTACCAATACTGCAAACCCATAGGCTTAACTTTACTCACATGAGTCAACTACTCACGTGCTTAAAATTAAGCACATGCAAAAGGTTTTGCAAGACTGTTGCCTTAGGTGGCATCATTCTACTTAAATGAGGAGAAGGAATTTTTAAAAAAATCTAATCTAACTCCTCTCCCATGTCTACACTACATACCTTGCATCAGCACAGCTGTGCCGCTGCAAGGTCTCCTGTGTAGCCGCTCTTTGCCAACAGGAGAGAGCTCTCCTGCTGGCAAAATAAAACCACCCCCAACAAGCGGCATTGGCTTTGTCAGCGGGAGAGCGTCTCCTGCCGATAAAGTGCTGTCCACACTGGCGCTTTTCGTCGGTAAAACTTTTTTCAGTCAGGAATGTGGTTTTTTCACATCCCTGACCAATAAAAGTTTTACTGACAAAAGTGCGGTGTAGATATAGCCCAGGGGTAGGCAACCTATGGCACGTGTGCCAAAAGCGGCACGCAAGCTGATTTTCAGTGGCACTCACACTGCCTGGGTCCTGGCCACCAGTCTGGGGGGCTCTGCATTTTAATTTAATTTTAAATGAAGCTTCTTAAACATTTTAAAAACCTTATTTACTTTACATACAACAATAGTTTCGTTCTATATTATAGACTTATAGAAAGAGACCTTCTAAAAACGTTAAAATGTATTACTGGCACACGAAACCTTAAATCAGAGTGAATAAATGAAGACTGGGCACACCACTTCTGAAAGGTTACCGACCCCTGATATAGCCTAACTCAGTGTAACTGCTAAATACAAGGTGGAACAGATTGTTTAGCATAAGTAGTTAACACACATTTCAAGGGACCATTCAAGGTGAAGTTATGAATTTAAGCTCCCAGGCTTTGCTAGACACTAAAAATTATGGTCTGAATAGAGACACTGGATTTATGGATTATTACAACAATCTGTAACCCACTACCAAACCCCACTCCAGCTGCTTTCCCTCCCTCCCTTCCTTTCTTCCCTATGACGGGGGTGGGGGTTAATGAGCCACTTCAGCTTGAATGGTCCCTTGAAATGTTTGTTAACCACTTATGCTAAACAACCTGTTCCACCTTGTATATCGCAGTGACACACTGAGGCTATGTCTACACTAGAGACCGTACAGTGCTGCAGCTGTACCGATGCAGCTGTACCGCTGTAAGATCCCCCACGTACCACTCTAGGCTGACAAGAGAGAGCTGTCCCATCGGCATAATTAAACCATGCCCAATGAATGGCAGTAGCTACATCAGCTGGCAGTTACACACTGGCACTTCTGTTGGTGTAACTTATGTCGCTCAGGGGGGTGGTTTTTTTCAAGCCCCTGAGCAACATACGTTTTACCTACTAAAGTGCTAATGTAGACACAGCCTGAGTTAGTTTCTCAGACCTGAAGAAGAGCTCCGGGTAGCTCGAAAGCTTGCATCTATCACCAACAAAAGTTGTTCCAAGTCTAAACTAGCAGAAATAGGGCTGAGGCCAGGTCTAAACTACAGACCTACATCAGTATAATTACATCACTCAGGGGTGTGAAAAATCCACACCCTTTAGCAACATAGTTATACTGACCTAACCCCTGTGTAGACAGCACTGCGTGGGCGGGACAGCTTCTCTCACCGACAAAGCTACCGCCTCTCGGGGAGGTGGATTAACTGTGATGATGGGAGAAGCTCTCCCATCAACATAGTGGCTTCTTCACATACAGCACTACAGCGATACAGCTACGCCACTGTATCGCTGTATGTGAAAACAAGCCCTAAGTGACCTAACAGTTATTTTCCATCTTTAAATTAAATTCCATGATAAAATTCATGAAGTGACCTGGAAAATAACTTATTTTTAACACAGTTATTGTTATCTTCATCCATCTGGCCTAAGTCTACAGGTAAGGACAATCCACTTCATGTATCAGATATCTTATTGTAATTAAACCATGTATACTACTACTATTTTGTGTAATAAGATAAAGGCCAACTATTTCAGAAATGCTTTTAAAAGCTGTGTACACAATTACACACAAAAGCTTAATTTATACACAGACACAACTTCTGTACTGTCACACAAGGGGTTTGCTAGAAAAAATAAAATTACACCATATTGATAATTGCCACAGAGGATGTGTGGAACAGCCAAATGCCATGTGTAGGCTAATGATAGCATTGTACTGCTGTGTTAAATAGACCAACAGAAATAAGCTCCTGCCAGTCAGAAACCATAACAGTGATTTTATAGCATTTCAGGCCATTATAATAGAGTAGAAACACAATGTGCATAATTTTCTCTGATTCTCACCTATAAATAATATGGCAAGCTATTGTTATTCCATAAAGTTTGGTATTAAAAAAGGAAGGAAGCACTCATGAGATAGCACTAGAAAAATGTGAATGTGAATGCACAATAAAAACTTCATTTTTAAATATGCTGATCAGTAATTTCATAAATGACCCCATAGCATGAATTGACTCCATGTGGATTTACACTTTAGAACTAAGGTAATAGTTAAGTTCTGATCAGCAGAATTTATGCAGAAATAAAGCAGATGGATATAACTACAGGTCTGAAAAGCTGAAATAAAGTATTAGGAAGTTAAAGGTGTCCAAAGAGCTTTTTCCACAATAAAATGAAAATCAAAAATATGGTGATAGTAAATACATAGATGACATGTATAATGAAACAACAATATTATATCCATTTTCTTGGGTGGTTTAATACCAGCTCCTACTAACAGGGTGGAGTCAGATATTGCTACTTTGCCAGTCTTACTTATCTGACTTTTCACATTGCATTTCATTGCCCTGAGGTTCTTGTGGAGTTTCATGCTGTTGAGGCATCTTTATGAGATTTTGCAGATAGATACTGGCATCTTCAGCTTTTAAAAATATTCTTATTTTCTATCATGTAACGTTTAGCTTAAAAAGGGAACTGTAGAAAAACTGCTGCCTCCCACATATCTTAGGTCTAGCATCACTGCACTTATATATTTTCACAGTGAGGCTGAGAAAATACAGTGATCCCTTATAATATCCCAGTAGCAGAAGTTTTCCAAATTATTTCCCTGGGCATAGTTCAGGCTTGGGGGGGAATGTGCATACAAGTCTCCAGTAAAGAAAGCCAGGTCTCTGCTCTGGGCAAGTTATTCAGTTAGTTGGTCAGAAAAATAAAATCCCATCTTCACCCTGAGCCTCTAATACTGAACTCATTTCAGCTTTAGGTTAATTCAAGTTTCCTGGCTCCTGGGTCAGTCTATGCTGGTTCTTAAACTCTTCTAAGTTTGCTTTTTGGGCAGTTGTGGGTTTGTTTTTTAACCTAAGCAATGCTCATTTTCACGTCCAACAAGAGTTGCTTGGATAACATGGCTACATCTCAAGAAGCACATTGCAGAGAAGATGGATACTACTGCTTTATCAGGAAATCTAGAGTCCATGTAGTAGTCTCTGAAGAAAACCACTGTTCTGTCTTCTGCAGTAGGTTTTAAAGGCTACCTCTACACTAGAGACCTTACAAAAGTACAGCTGCACCACTGCAGCTGCACTGCTGTAAGGTCTCCTGTGTAGCTGCTCTCCCACCTCCAACGAGCAGGGGTAGCTATGTCAATAGGAGAGCCTCTCCCACCAACACAGCACTGTCCACACCAGTGCTTCTGTCGGTGTAACTTATGTTGATCGGAGTGAGTTTTTTTCACACCTCTGACTGACAAAAGTGCTAGGGTAGACAGTCAAACTGAAGTACTTTTACCTCTGGGAATATTAGAGTCAAACTGAAATTGGGAGGGAATCTTACTCCAGGTAAAATAAATAATGGACTCTTGGAAAGGGAAAGGGATGAAGCTTAACTGGCAAATATCCATCTTTGTGACACTCTCTTATTTATTATTAATATTGCAACAGCACCTAGAGTAGAGAGCCTAGGGTAGTGCCTTGGTAGAGACCCCAACCAAAGTCAGGACTCCATCATGCAAGGTGCTGTACAAACACATAGTAAGAACTATTAAAATCGGAAGAGTTTACAGTCTAAACAAATAAGACAGAGCAAGGAGAAACAGACACAGAGTTAGGGTTAGACACAGAGAGATGAAGCGATTTGGACATCAGAGACAGAGCCAGTTATAGAACCCAGGTCTTCAGTTCAGTACTCTACCCACTGGACCATGATGCCTCTCCTAATTTTACATTTTAAAACATTGCATAAATTTGAAGGTGAATTGGTTTATAAGATAGTACAATGGTTTCTGGCATTTAAGCATTCAAATGGCCTATGCAATGAAATGTGAAAAGTAGTTACTGTGCAGTCACACTAACCCCATCCCAAAGTATTTTTACATGTTACACAAAGAAAAGAAAAGCAATTTAGGCTGTACAGTGGAACAGGTATGAAGGACAGGTTGTGATCAAAGGGAAAGAGTTTCAAATTTAATGGGAAAGAAGTAAAAGACTCTTTATGTAAACTACAAACTGGTCAAAATACCACCAATATTTGCTTCTGGACATCATACAAGGTCAGAAATTATACAGAAAAAATGCCTGGGCAGTCCCCCACTATCAGGTAAGTTAATTAAAATAACCCTCCATCTTTTCTTTATTATTAGCCCACAATGAAATTACATGCTAATTGTCCTATCAACTACTGGGGTAACAGAAATTGTAGAAAACTAAGCCTCACTGACTGGAGTAATGCAAACCTCAGCCTCAGGCCAGCAGAGGTCAGGATATCACCAAAAGTATAACTAGAATACAGTGTAATTACTTTTTATAACTACATTTGCAACTTAACATTGGAAAGCGTACAATAAATATAGTTCCTATGCAAACACTCTGTCTGGGACAGATATGAGAATTATACACTCTTTTCATAGCATAGCTTTAGGATACTTTATATCTCATGCTTAGTTAAGTGAATCAGAGCTTCAAGTATCATATATGACAATGAAAAATAATTTTAAGTTGTCTAATATTTGAGACCATGAACATATATAGCCTCACACACAGCTGTGTCCTTCGGATTAAAATGAAGTTAACAATATATGCTCATTATGCTATAAATGCAATGAAACACTGCAGGAAAACAATGCAGTTTCAGGTTGCAGAAACACGCTGTCATGACCCAAGAACCACCTAGCAATGCAAAACAGACAGGGACTCCGGGATTTTTCTTCTCCTCTCATAAGCAGCACTCCCTTCTCTTACTCTCTCATACACACTGCCCTACACTGATTCCCATCAGCTTCTCTCTGTAGCTCAGAATACTGCAATTTTCCAAAGAGATAGCTTTTAAAGGCTACGAGAGCTGCATTTGTTTAAAACAAACACTCACTCCCACCTCCATGCACTAGGAGGAGCTGATCTGAGCAGCACAGAGATGTTAACTTGAAAAGACAATAGTAGAGGGTATCAATTAACCAAAGGGAACTGAACTAGGACAAGAGCCAAGTGTAACTTGAAATATTTCATGAATGGAATTGTCTTCTTATTAAGCAGCAGCTCAACATGCAGCCACATTAGGGACTTGTGTTTGTCTGTAATTCATCCAGGCCAGCAGAGCCTGGGATGAATGTGAAGGCAGCAATGTACAAAGTAAGGTAGTGACCTTTTGTGGTTAACCCAAGAGAGGTGTTAACAATTCCAGAGGGAGTTAATGGCATCTAGTCGTATATGAACAGAAAGGCAGTTCAACCAAATGTGTGATTTTTAAGAGGAGATTCCTATCCTCTAGCAGATGCGAGAAATCTGTTTCTATCAATATGAAAGTCCACAGTATGACACTATATCCCCCAATTATAAAACGTATACATATTAGAAAGGACACACTGTCAAGTGTTGATGCTTACTTACAGGTTTAAGAGACGTGAGACATAGGACTTACCCTTTCTATTGCTGCATCATGAAAAGGAAGCTCCTCTGTACTAAAAACAAAGACAAAGATGTTAGTTCTGTTTAATTGGCACAAATTCATTTTTTTCATAGGTTCTTACAAGTATGTAGTTACCAAGGTGAATGCAGAAAACGAACTGTTAACTCAAATTACTGCAAGATTTCCTGCAAGCGATCACAACAGCACAGAAAAGCATTGAAAGATTTTGTGCAGTAAGAGTCCCAACAATTTTTAAAAGCAAAATACAGATGGCATAAATAGAAAGTAAGCCATCTAAATCAACATGGGTTAACCTAGCTTCAAAAATATAGTCAAATGCAAAAAAGTTATTTTCTGCCGTGAAAAAAGCCAGTGAAATAGAATTTAAAGTCATTGTCCTACAGGATTTCTAGATGTATATTGTACAGTTTCAAATAAGTTAATGAAATCTTTTCACCCAAATAAATGTTTCTAATGAATAGCTCTGTCTTATAAAGGATTAGCTAGGTCCAAAATATGGGCCCGGCAATCCTTAGTCCATTTCAATCAATGCCAGTCCTGTTTAGTAAATTGTATGAGTCTACTACTTTCAGCTAAAGGACCTGAAGACAGTTTTTATTTTTTTTATATTTTACTCAATTTCGTGACACAGATGGACTCAAACAATCTTTGAGCTAGAGGGAGAAGCTTCAATATTTCAATTACCTGGTAAACTCACTCAGATTGGAAGGAAAAGTGCACGCAGTGCTTTTAGAAGTTATCTAACCTATAAAGAGAATTCTTTCATTTCTCACCCTAATTCTAAAAGGCAGCTTGAAATCATATGAACTCAAACTGAAAATTTACCACCAAGGGCTCTTTCAGGCTCTCTTAGCTATTTACATTTTGAGACTCAAAATTTAGCCCTTGTCCTTGCTACGATCAAACAAGGTTAACGGAACTTGCTGTCAACTAGCATTTCCTTCTCATGTGTGTATCATCTTCAGCCTTTGTGGAACTCTAGCAGCTGATCTGTAATATTAACAGAATTCCCCTATCTTGTTTTAGAGCTTGGATAAACAATAACGAGGTAAACACGAAGGAAAGTAATTGCTTGAAGCTGGCCAAAGGCTTTGCAGGAGAAATGTCTAGGTATATGAAATCCTCAAAAAACACAGGAGCAAAAATAGTAAGGTCACTTATGTGCAATTGTACCTGAGAACAGCTCTGGACTCACAAGCAACACTAACCTTTGAACACAAAGGGTAAGAGCTGAGCTGTCATGCCAAAACCCTCAGTGCTTGCAGAGCAACAGACTAAAAAAAGGGGTCTTTATATGATTCACTATTTTAGATACCACTTATACTGTAAGGAAAAAAGGGACAAAGTTGAAAAGGTACTAATGTTTAAGCTGAATATATCAGAAAACGTCCTATTCTTTTGCCAACCTAGTGGTCTAAGTAGGGGGCCATTACATGCCAGCATAACATAGAACTCCTCCAAGCTGCACAAGGGCTAAAACAGGGGTTCTCAAACTAGGGGAGGATCACGAGCCCGGCCAGGTGCAGGGGCTGTCAGCCACAAGTCCCTGTCAGCCACAAGTCCCTGTTACATTAAATTACAATTAAATTAAATTCCCCCATTTTTAATTTATAAGGGGGGTTTCACTCAGAGGCTTGCTGTGTGGAAAGGGTCACCAGTACAAAAAGTTTGAGAACCACTGGGCTAAAGGGACCCCCTGCCAGAGCCAGAAGGAAATTGCAAAGGTAGTTTAAAGCCTCCTTCCACCTCTTCATTGCTCCTGCACTCAGCACAGAACTGAAGGAACACAGAGTCCAGCACAAGGTGAGTAAGTGATGTATGGTCACATTCACTTCATTTAAAAAACGCTGGCATTTAAAATCCGGGGTCTACATTTGAGCTGAATATTGATGAAAAATAATTACTTTATTATTAGAGCTTGCCCCAGGCAACACCCTCTCTAGAATTCCCATGTTTAGGTCACATGGCTTCCAGCTCACATACTGGAAGTTAATGTGAAAAACCGGAAAGTTAATCTTTTGAACAATATACCTACAGTAGAACAATAGGGTCAATTAACTTCATAACATTTTAAAGGTTTCTGAATGCCTTTCTGAAAAGAAACAGCAAGGTAACAACTTCTAACCTGTTGAAAGGCTGCTAGACTATCACAAGGCTGACTTGTTACTTTATGTGCACCATTATTCTATCATACAAGTTTTTCTTTATACAGTAAAAGCTGTTTTATCCAGATGGGGGTGCCCGTAAGTGAAAAATGCCAGTTAACTAAGAGGGAGGGAGTTTGGGTGCGGGGCTGGGTTCTGGGAGGGAGTTTTGGTGTGGGAGGGGGCTTGGGGCAGAGGATTGGATCATGGGAGGGGGTGTGGGGTGCTGGATCTGGGGGGCACTCACCTTGGGCAGCTCCCTGCAAGCGGCGACCTGTCCCGGAGGCCCAGCAAGCAGCTCAGTGCGCTGCCTCCACCCACAGGCACCGCCCCCGCAGTTCCCATTGGCTGCGATTGGGAGCTGTGGAGCTAGCGCTTGGGGTGGGGGCAGCATGTAGAGCCGGTTGCTCGCCTCCGCCTAGGAGCAGCCAGGACAGGTCACCGCTTGCGGGGAGCTGCCAGAGGTGAGTGCCCCCCAGATCCGGCACCCCAACCCGTTGCCCTGCATCCCATCCTGCAACCAAACTCCCTCCCAGAGACCACACTCTGCACCCCCTCCCATGCCCCAACCCCCTGCCAGCCCCACACCAACCAGACTATAAACTGGAATTTCAATGATGATCAGAAATGCCGTTTTATGGAGCTTTCCGGTTGGTGAAGTGATGGATAAAACAGCTTTTATTGTATATCAATTAAACTATATTAAAGTAGGCCCTCAATTATACTCAATATCACCTAAAATTAAATTACCTTGAATAAAAGTTGTAATAAATAAATACAACTTCACTAAAAAAAAAAAGTGTTTTCAGTTCTTCAATCACCACCTTCATTTCTCCCCCCGTGACAACTCTCAAGTGTCTTGTTCAGCTGTTGGCACCATCTGCCTGCACCCGGAGATCTGGCTTCATTTGTGTTGTATGAATATACAGTAGCTGCATTCTTCATGACCTTAAGGATGACGCAAGCAACTAGTTCCAAACACACAAAAGGTGCCTTTTCTCAATGCCAAGGCATATCACCATCAGCAGCAAACAGGACAGTGTTCTAAACACTCCATATTTCTATGTATCTCATATAAGACACACAGCTATTATACCACCAAGCTAGTCTGGTTTGGCAGCTTAACTTTTCATTTTGTGGTTTGTTGTGGAAGCTAGTTTACTATGTACTGCATGTGTTCTACACTGTCCTACCTTAGTCTAGCACACCGAGTAACTCTAATTTTGGTTTCACCTATAGAAATACAGCAACTGCGATATGTAAACTTTATACAAAACTGCAGTGCTTATCCACACAAAGGAAGACAGTCAGCTGGGTCTGCTGAGTAGACACAAGAAGGCTCCTTTCTCTTGTGAGGAGTGCGTCTCGCTCTCTTTTCTCTATAATAGATTAGTTTAGATCAGAGGTCCCCAAACTGTGAGGCGCGCCCCTAGAAGGGGTGGGCCAGCTCCCATAGGGGGCAGGGAGGGAGTGCCACCCAGCCCCTCCCTGCCCCCAGTCATGTTGCCGAGTCCTAGCCCTGTCCCCAGCCTCAGCGCAGCTCCGCTTCTGGCCCCATGCCAGCCCCCAGCCTTGGCCGCTGCTCTGTTTCCAGTCCAGGGCTGAGGCTCGGGGTAAGGCCGGGAGTGGAGACGCACCTAGCCGTGAGCCTGGCTGCCGGTCTCCTCTTCAGCCCAGCTGCAGCTCTGCTCCTGCCCCCAGCTGTGGCCTCAGCCTCGGCCCCCTTAGCCTTGTCCGCATTCCTCTCCCTCCCTCCCGTTCCCCGGAGCTGCGGCCCCGGTCGAGGCCCCAGCTTGGGGGGGAGGGGAAGGATGCAACCCACAAAAGTTTGGGGACCGCTACTTTAGATAAACTGATGAACAAATTAAAACTTAATCCTTTAATGATGTGCTTGAACAATAATATACCTAGCACTTCAATAGCACGTTGGAACATCGAAGCTCTGTACAAACGCTAAAAAATTCTCATGACCGCTCTCGGATATTATTCCCATTTGACAGATGGGAAACTAAAGTAGAGAAGTTGACTGTCTTGCCTAAGGCTTCAAAGTGAATCAGTGGATTGGAACTCAGGAGTTCATAGCTGCTGGACCTATATTCAAGTCCACTACATCACACTGCCCGTGCACATATGCCAACACACAGATGTTCAAGTCTACACGACTGATGAGTTCCCTCATCCCTTATGATATTTAAAAAGAAAAAATCAGTGAACTCCCCTTTTCTCAATATGTTTTGTAAGTAATGGGACTAATAAACTTGAATATAAGAAGCCATTTGTTAGGATTAGAGATAAGGAAATAGTGGTCATAACTGAACCTAATTTTATTATTCCCTTCTTTTTTGCATACAATTTGTGGCTTTATCATCTTTCAAAGCTGTTTAAAGTTGCATTTTTCTATTTTTAGATCAGTGCATACTGTCCAGTAATAATGTGAATTTGTAAATTAAATATTATCTTCCTCCATCTATTTTCTACCCTGTGAAAAAACTTTAAACAGTTATGGTAATATGGATATGGGGGGGGGAGGGGAGGAGAGAGAGACAGGCTTTAATATAAACACCTTCAAGACATGCTACTTGATATTCAAAGAGGGAGCCAGGGAGAAAATCTTTAGCCATGACAAATTTAACACACATCTAAAATAAGAATCTAATAGCAGCAAAAACTTAATAGTCTTTTATTCTCTGTAAAAAGGATCCACCAAATTGCACTGTACAATCAGCTTAAATGGGCAGAAATTAAAGGTCATTACACCTTGATGTGTTTTTTGTCCAAACATACATAAAGAGAAGGGCCTGGTGTACTGGTCTAGGCATAAGCCTGGGACCCAGGAACTCCAGAGCTCTGATCTTGGCTCTGTAGCAATGGCCAAGTCACTTATTCC